TTGTAGTTTAAACCTGATGAGTTCTTCCACTTTCCGAATAGTCACCACATGATGTGAATGAATCTATCCGACAGAGTGGCCAGGCAGCTATCAAATTAGCACGTTCGCATATTTGTTAAAATGTTCCTCGTTCTGTTCAACCCATGATTGGTTTGTTTTCAGTTTCCGCCTTTTATTTTTCAATCAGAACCGGTGTGGAGTCAAAGAACGCATTAATTAAACCGATGGACAAAGACTGCAAATAAATCTTCGGACTTACCTCACCCATTTGTGGATCATCAGCCTTGTAAGCGTCTAACTTTTGTTGTACCAACTGTGCGAATTCCGCGTTTTTTTCGTACTGGCTGTGGAAACAAAAATGGCGCGTGACCGAATCAAACAACCTAAACGGAAGCCTTCAACCACACCGCGCATAAATGAACGAGTTAGCAATAGCAAGAAGTAGTTCATGCAGCCTATCTGATAAGGTACAATTTTTGGACCGATGGAGCCACAAAAATCTTCATCGTGAAGTGTGGGCCAAATAATATATATGCCACCAAGTTAGTTTTGGGTTTCCGATAGAAATACTTCGATAATAAAGAAGATGTGAACCCGACTAGGTTTGGAACTAACTTCAATGTCGGCTGTGCATTATTCTCGTGAGGTGCAGAATGATGTTGGAAGGGAAATTTGGAGTGATGCCGACTATGTGGTTTGCCTACAGTACTACTATTCACATTCCACCCAGCATAGAAGCCTTACACTCTTTGAGATAATTCCTTAAATGTTGGACCGGCGTAAACCAATAGTAACGTGCTAACAGAAGAATTTCTCAGTTTGGGCTTGGATTTAAACATCGTATGAGACTTCAGGTCAAGACTCCGAACTATGACCCCAACACTGCGACACAGTTCACCTATTTGCGTCTAATGGTATGCTTAACACTGCAAACTAGTCTCCATCCAAAACTCTAACAAACATGTTACGTGAGTCATAGAAGTCAATCCAGGGGACAGTCACCGTGTTTAACGAAGTCACCAATGGTCCAAAACTTCAACCAGTCCGCAATGCCAATGACAGTTTGCTTGTACACCAAAGACTGACCTGCGGAAACGGATGAGTGGGTACTCCCCGAGAGTAGCGCAAAGTGTGGCAATCTGTTCGGCTATTCTCTCCAGCTGTTGACCTTGTCCTTGTTGTCGCGCTGTGGGATTGAAGTAGTATTGAAAACTGACGGGAGAATCCAATGAGAATACACGAGATTCCACGGGAAGGAATGCTATGTTGATCTCTTTTAAGGTCTTCAGGAACACCGCGCAATTCGAATGGCACAGCCGATTGAACAGCTCATCAGGGCAGGCTACAGTACAGGGGGAAAACAAAAAATATATACCGGACTGTGAACAAAGACTGATTGTGAGAGATAGTCATCAAATCTGAAGGCATCTCACTTGGAAGGCTTTAGGAATGGGGAACACAGAGAAGCATAAAGGGTTTTGAAGATAAAAGTAAGCGTGATTACTCAGTACCAATCGTCTAGTCCCAAGACCGATCGTCTGTGTCCTATCAGACTCGTACAAGGCGGCATACACGGTGTTCAAAAACGGACAGTCCGTGTTTATCCTCCTCCCTCAACTGCCACGTTTTTCTATCGCATAGCATCAGTATCCGCTGGACTTTGGCAGTAGGTAAATCGAAAGAGTTCAGTTCAGTTTACTTCTTTAAACCATTCATCATGCAATTTCGTGCGCCTGTTTCGGTTGCTGTCATTTGGTTGCCCATTTGGATAAAAAATCAGAATGATTATTAGAATGTTGAGAGCAGATTTAAGCGAAAGGTGGCACATGTCCTAACCAACGTAATCTCTGGAGGTCGATTACCTGTTCCAGTGGACTACCGCG